AAAAAAAAAAAAAAAAAAAAAAAAAAAAAAAAAAAAAAAGCAGTTTTAAAACATTTTTGGAACACATGAAACTAGATTAGGTGATGTAATTAATGCTAACATAGGTGTAAAAGCCATCATGTGGCTAAGCAGGAGGGGATCCTTGTTCTTAACAGCTTTTTGAGAGTTATTTCTGAACAACTTTGGCAAAAATAATTCTTTCTATCTATCTATCTTCTCAGAGAGAAAATATAGCAAAATATTACCTATTGGTAATTTAGGAGAATTGAGCTTTTCTCCGACTTTTCTAAAAACCATGTTTTAAGAACTTTGATATGAAAAGTGTAATTATATATATAATGTTTATTATACATATCAATTTATGTATATAAGGTCTGTACATAAAAATCACATTTACATCCACATAGAAGTATAAAACAATAGAAAACAATATCTTAAATGCTATCATTTATAATAGTTTCAGAAAGATCTTTCAATGAATATATATCAAAAACATGCATAATATTCCACACAAAAAGCTATAAAAATATATTGATAGAAACTAAATTAAACCTGATATAGATATCAAGTTTCATTGATTGAAAGGTTCAGTATTACACACCAAATCAAAGCAGACGTATAGATGGAAATTAAACATATAAAAAGCTGTTTCACATCACATCATATGGCATCAGGGATGTGGAACTTAAAGTCAAAATGAGATGGCACTACGCACCATTAGAAAGGCCAAAATCCAATGCATTGAACTCACCAAGTTCGATAAGGATGTGGAGCAACAGGAACTTTCCTTCATTGCAGGTGGGAATGCAAAATGGCATGACCTCTTTAGAAGAATATTTGGAAATTTCTTACAAAACTATTGTTAACAAAAGACCATGGGGTTTGCAGAGGAAAAATAAAGAAGTGCTTATTTACTGAAAATAAAAATAATAAAAATAATAAATCTGCTGATCAGAGAGACGCAGTCTCCAAAGTAAAAGCAAAGTGCACTCTGGAGAATAAAGAGGGCGTCTGACTTAAATAGGGAAAGTTTCTGCCCCAGCTCTCAATCAGGTCTGTATATGCAAATCAATAATTCAAATTCATTCAGTCTTGATTGGTTAAAAACAGCTGTGTCCCGATGGTATTTGTCAAGCCCAAACCAGAAGTCTGTTGGATACCTTTCAGGAGGCTGGTGGAAGGAGTTTTCTGCTGTGGTATCTCGCCACAGACACAGTGTTACAGGAACTGTTTTAGCTCGGAGGTGCAAATAGGATATTCCTCTGGAGCTGCTTGGTCCTGGGGAAAATGGAAAAACTTAATCCAGTGGCCAGAGTGCTCACTCACTTTGGTCAGTGTGTTCATTTTACTTCACAGTATCATGCAGTCCAGCAATCACACTCCTTGGTATCTACCCAAAAAAGTTAAAAACATTTATCTACACATAAACCTACACAAGATGTTTACAGCAGTTTTATTCATAACTGCCAAATGCTGGAAGCAATCAAGACGTCCTTCCGTAGACAAATGGATAAATAAACTGCAGTACATTCAAATGATAAAATGTTCCTCAGCATTTTAAAATAAGTAAGCTATGAAGCCATAAAAAGACATGGGGGAAACTCAACTCCAAGCTATTAAGTTAAAGAAGCCAATCTGAAAAGATACATACTTTATAATTCCAACTCGATGACATTCTGGAAAAGGGAGAACCATGGAGACAGTAAAACAATCAGTTCTTGCCAGGAGTCAAAGGAAGGGAGAGATGAGTAAGTGAAACAGAAGCTTTTCAGGGCAGTGAAGCTACTCTGTGCAATATCTTCATTGGTGGATATACATCATTGTAAGTTTGTCCAAACGTACAGAATTACAAGAGTGAAGCCCACGTAAACCATGAACTCTGCATCATAATGATATGTCAGTGTGGTGTGTGGTTTCACATCAGTTGCGACAAATGTATCACTCTGCTGGGGGATGTTGACAATGTGCAATGTGTGCATACGTGGGTCGGGGGTTTATGGACAATTCTGTAAATTTTCTCAATTTTGCTGTAAACCGAAAACTGCTCTTAAAAGTAAAGTATATTAAACTCAATATTATAAAGATGTTTGTTCTCCTGAAATTGATTTGTATATACAATGTCATTCTAAGAAAATTCCAGATACTCTTTTTGTATGTGTGGAACCTGCAAACTGATTCTAAAATCTATCTGGAAATCTAAAAGACTAAGAATAGTTAAGACTTGCATGAAGAATAAAGACAGAAGACTTAATCACTTGACAGTAAAACTTATTGTAAGCTATGATCACTTAGTGTGCTGTTGATTCAAAAATAAACCAATAAAACCAAAGAAAAGTCCAGAAATAAACACCTCCAATTAAGTATTCCATTTAGGACAAGTGTGGAAGCGTGGACCAGGGGTAACCAATGTTCTTTTAGATAAATTATGTTGGGTTTGGTCACAACAGAATTATGCTGAGTGGCTGCAGGAGCTCAAAGAGAAAGGTCCCAGGCCACTCCGGCGACCCCAGGCCCTCCTCGGACCTGGCCTCCAAGTTGAGGGAGGCTCAGTGTGGTCAGTACTGCAACACCCTGGCGGAGACAGGGCATGCTCAGACATCTGCAGAAGAGCGTGGGGGAGGAGCAGCAGGTGTCCAGGGCCAAGGTGGGCGCCGCAGAGGAGGGGCTCCAGAAGTCCTGGTCACGGTGAAACATCTCCAAGAGATTGCAGAGAAGCTAGGAGAACTTGAAAGTTCAGACCAGGCGAGAAAGCACACGTCACATTTGGAGGCGCAGCTGGAGAAACACGTGGCAGCCGCCAGCGCCTAATGCCAGAGCTACCCGGAGGAGGCGGTGGGGTTGAGGCAACTTCTGCTAGAAATTCAATCTTAGTGGATGCCACCAAGAGCGAAGCCCAGAAGCAGAGGGACGAGCTCGCGCCAGCCAGGCAGGGGTTGAGTGACATGAAGAGCCACGTGGACGATGGTGACATGGCTGGGGCCCCAGCTACCTCCCCGGACCCCGTTCGGCTGAAGGCGCAGCTGGGGCGGACACCACCATCCTGGAGGCCGAGCAGACGCAGAGGCAGCAGCTCGGGCGGAGCTGGAGGAGGCTCAGACCTGGGTGAGGAGCTGGAGAAGGTCCGCGCAGCCGCCCCTGGAGTCAGAAACCCGGGGGGCTGTGCAGCGGCAGGAGAGACTGGAAAAGGAGGACGCGCCGCCACCGGGCTGCAGGCGCTTCTGCAGAGGGGCCGGGGCAGCTGGCAGGGGAGGAGGGCACAGTGAGGAGGCTGCAGGAGCGGCTGGGGAAGGCAGGCGGCGGCAGCCGCTCAGGAGGGCACGGCTGAGTCTGCTCTGCGGAAGCAGGAGTGCCCACTGGACGCGCACATGTGTGCGGGAGTGCCCACTGGACGCGCACATTCGTGGAGTGCCCACTGGACGCGCACATGCGTGCGGGAGTGCCGTTGTAATAGTCCCAAGCTGAAAATAATCTAAAAGCCATCACCAATAAAACGTATCAATAAGTCATGGCATATTCATTCAACAAAATGGTATGCAGTATTTAAAATGAACAGATTACTGCTATATGAAATGATAGAAATGATAGGTAGAAAAATAATATTAAGCAAAATAAAGTGGACAGAAATGAGTACACGGTGTATGATTTTATTTATGTAAAAAATCCAAAAGAACGATTATTACTGTGTTAGAACTCATAACGATGCTCACATTGTGGAGGGGTCAGGGTATTGATCATGATGGTGAATCTGCAGAAGAGCTGGTATGTTTTATTTCTGTCCTAGGATAATAATCACATGTTGTTTTCGCTTTGTAATCATTTGCCTGTGTTCAACACGTGCATTGTCCTTTATGCACATTTTAGTGGAGGATGAGAGGTCATTTCAAAAAATGCTTTGCTACTGCCTGAAATCTCATGCTACGTGTTAATAACTCAGAACATGCCAACATACACCCAGCAACTCTATGAGCTTTCCCAGTGTTTATTTACCACAAGCACACAGTGGTACAAATTTCTAATAAAAATCTGTCTTGATCATTTTTATTATAATAATTTATGTTTTGTAATGAAATCTGCATGCTTCTGAGGGAATGTGTTCTCTTTCCCGGTCCACAAGGCGGAGTAGTTTTAAGGGTAAGAATTTCCCAGTGCCATGTCCCTCTCCCATCTCTCTCCATCGGGGGTTTATGTTTGAATTTTGCGGACACGGGAAGCAACTAAAAGTCAAATCAGAAAGGAAGTTCTAAGGAACTCCTTTCCTTGGCCCAGGGTCTTGGGGAAGGTGGGAATTCTCCCAGGATAAATTCCCCTGCTCCTTCACCCACACCGGATCTCCAGCTCTCTGAAGTCCCCTCCCACATGGTGGGAGCTCCCTTTCCCCTCTGGAATCCCCTTCCACACTCTTCATGGAAGTCTTTGTCTTCTCTTTTCTCTACCTAAATAAAATCACCTTTCTGCAACATTTCTTTGGGTCCAATATTTACTTTTACAAGCATATGGCACACCTGCAGTGGTCCCATCGCTTATTCTTTAAGAGATTGGAGGCCAAGAACCCACAGCATTCTCACGGAGACCTGTGCCTCATCAGCACCCAAGAAAAAACCCATTACACTTTGATTATTTGATATCTGGGAGTTTCGACAAACAGCCAATGTTGAAAGTGAGGAAGCTGCTTCCAAAATGATGAAACGATGTCAAGATACATGATTTAAAGGCTTTGAGACACTTTAATCATGTTATCAATACACAAGGTGTTCAGGCTAGGTCCCACTGCTTGCCACACAGAGAGATAATTACTGAAAAGCCGAGTAGTGCCAAAAAGAAGGCTTTAATTGGGTCCCCCTAACCACCTAAAGCTAGAGTTTTATGTGTCAGGCAAGAAATGTAACAATGTGTAGGAAAACAGAAACTCGGGAGGGACAAGGAAGCAGTCATGTGAGTGAGGACTCTGGCATATGGGGTGGTGATCTGTTTCCATTATTTGATACTTTTTGTGAGCGGCCTGAAGGTCATTTCCTGAGGAAGGCACTCAGATAAAACAAATGTAAGTTTCAAGCTTTAACAGCAGAATAGCAGAAGGATCTGTGTGCAGGATGTGCAGGTTTGTTACATAAGTAAACATGTGCCATGGTGTTCACGGCAGTGGTGACCCATCTGGACCTCCTGACCCATCTGGACCATTTCCACATTAGACAGAAACAGGGATGAAACATGCCCACAACACTTGCCACATTGTGTGTGACAAGAAGAGAAGAGTTACAGCCCTTTGGGGAGCCCAGACCTAGGGGCTCTCTGAGCCAGGGCCATTACACTCTCTGTGAGGTTCTGCAATTCCTGATGTCTCCAAGCTTCTGGGTGCCACCACATTGTCCTCACCCAGATGTGGGTGCCCACAGCAGATGCTACTGGGAGTGCATCTGGTCCACTCACAGCCTTCCGTGGAGCCAGCACCTGGCAGGCAGTTCCAGGTGCTGCAACGAACATACATGTGCATGTATCTTTAGGATAGAACGATTTATATTCCTTTGCGTTTATACCCAGTGATGAGATTGCTGGGTCAAATGGTATTTCTGATTCTAGATCTTTGAGGAATCGCCACACTGTCTTCCACAATGGCTGAATTAATTTACATTCCCACCAACAGTGTAAAAACATTCATCTGTTGTTTCTTGTCTTTTTAGTAATCTCCATTCTAAAAATTCAAATGTGATTTGCATTTCCCTAATGATCAGTGATGCTGAGCTTTTTTATGTTTGTTGGACACATACATGTCTTCTTTTGAGAAGTGTTTGTTCACGTCCTTTGCCCGCTTTTTAATGGGGTTATTTGTTTTTTGCTCATAAATATGTTTAAGTTTCTTGTGGATTTTTGACATTGGACATTTGTGTCAGATTGCAAACATTTTCTCACATTCTGTAGGTTGCCTGTTCACTCTGATTATATATATATATATATAAAATCATATATATATATGATTATATATATATGATTTTTATATATAATATAAAATATATATATATTTTATATATATAAATATATATATATATTTTTGCTGTGCAAAAGATCTTTAGCTTAATTAGATTCTTTTTGTTAACTTTTACTTTTGTTGCAATTGCTTTTGACACTTTTCATCATGAAATCTTTACCCATGACTATGTCCTGAGAGGTATTGCCCAGATATTTTATAGGGCTTTTGTAGTTTTGGGTTTTACATTTAAACCTTTAACCCATCTTGAGTTAATTTTTATGTAAGGTGTAAGAAGGTGATCCGGTTTTAATTTTCTGCATATGGCTAGCTGGTTTTCCCAGCACCATTTATTAGTAGGAAATCCTTTCCCCTTCGCTTGTTTTTTGTCAGGTTTGTTGAAGGTCAGATGGCTGTACATGCGTGGTCTTATTTCTGAGTTTCTATTCTGTTCCCTTGGTCTATGTGTCTGTTGCTGTACCATGCTATTTTGGTTACCGTAACCTCATACTACACAGTCAGGCAGTGTGATATCGCTTACATTTTATGAGGAATGTTATACTTCCAATTATGTGATCAATTTTAGAGTAAATGTCATGTGGCAATCAGAAGAATATATATTCTGTTGTTGGGTGGAGAATTCTGCAGATACCTATCATGTCCGCTTGATCCAGAGCTGAGTTCAAATCCTGAATACCTTTGTTAATTTTCTATCTCAGTGATCTGTCTAATATTGAGAGTGGGTTGTTAAAATCTCCCACTATTATTGTGTGGGGGTCTATGTCTTTTTACAGGTCTCTAAGAACTTTTTTTATGAATCTGGGTGTTCCTGTGTTGGGTGCAAATATATTTAGGATAGTTAGTTCTTCCTGTTGAATTGAACCCCTTGCCATTATATAGCCCTTTTTGTCTTTTTTTTTTTCTTATGTTTGTTGGTTTAAAGTCTGTTTTGTCATAAATTAGGATTGCAACCCCTGCATTTTTCTGCTTTCCATTTGCTTGGTAAAGTTTCCTCTATCATTTTATTTTCAGTCTGTCTGTGTTTGCACATGAGATGGGTCTTTCGATTACAACACACTGATGGGTCTTGAGTCTTTATCCAGCTTGCTGTTCTGTGTATTTTAATTGGGGCATTTAGCCCATTAACATTTACGGTTAATATGGCCATGTGTGAATTTGATCTTGTCATCATGATGCTACTGGTTATTTTGCAGACTTGTTGATGTAGTTGATTCATAGCATTGTTGGTCTGTGTACTTCAGTGTGTTTTTGAAGTGGCTGGTAAGGGTTTTTCCTTTCCGTATTTAGTAATTCTTTCAGGAACTTTGCAAGGAAGGCCTGGTGGTGACAAATTCTGTCTGCATTTGCTTGTCTTAAAAGGACTTTATCCTTCACGTATGATGCTTAGCTTGGCTGGATATTGAATTCTTAATTGGAAATTCTTATCTTTAAGAATGTTGAATATTGGCCCCAATCTCTTTGGGCTTCTAGGATTTCTGCTGAGAGGTCTGTTATTAATCTGATGGGCTTTCCTTTGTAGCAGACCTGGCATTTTTCTCTGGCTGCCCTTAACCTTATTTCCTTTTTACCTTGGAGAACCTGATGATTATGTGTCATGGGGTTGATCTTCCTTCTAATGGACTATCTCATTGAGATTCTATGGAGTTCCTGAATTTGAATGTTTGCCTGTCTTGTTAGGTTGAAAAAGTTCTCCTGAAGTGTGTTAACCAACTTGGTTCCATTCTAACCATCTCTTTTAGGTACTCCAATCAGTCACAGGTTCAGTTTTTTTACGTGATCCCATAGGTCTCAGAGGTTTTGTTTCTTTTCTTTTCTTTTCTTCTTCTTTTTTTAAATATAATCTTGTCTGCCTGTCTTATTTCAGCACGATAATCTTCAAGCTCTGACATTCTTTCCTCTGCTTGGTCTGTCCAGCTGTTGTTACTTGTGGTTGCGTTGTGAAATTTGTGTGTTGTGTTTTTTGGCTGCATCAGGTCATTTATGTTTTTCTCTAAGCTGGTTATTCTGGTTACCAGTTTATTGTTTTATCATGGTTCTTAACTTCTTTGCATGGGGTTAGAACATGCTGCTTTAGTTCAGAGAAGGTGTTAATACCCACCTTCGAAGCCTACTTTTGTCAGTTCATCCATCTCAGCCTCAGTTTAGTTCTTTTCCCTTGCTGGAGGGGTGCTGAAATAATGTGAAGGAGAAGAGGCATTCTCAGTTTTTGAGTTTTCAGCATTTTTGTGTTGATTCCTTCTCATCATTGTGGTTTGTCGACCTTTAATATTTGAGAC